TAAAACACGATACAGTTCTATTGTTTTCACTCGTGCATAATCGTGCGAAACGTACTTACGCAGGCGCACTAAGTTGTCGATAAGTCGCGCTACTTAACAGGCAGCAGAACCTTACTGGAGTCTTACTTGGTCTTCTCCCATTGCTTATGCTCATGCGCAATTGAAAACCAGAGGCCTTTTGATATTGATCAGATTTCAGTTGGAGTGGTGCATATTTTTAATGCAGAGCTGAATGATTACTATCAGTCTTTCGGGGATGGTCTCCTACTTGAGCTTGAGAAAATTAAATTGCAAAGTTCTACAGACAATTTTTTTGAAGGGGTTTCGTTTGCGTGATCGCTGAGGGAAGCTGGTCACTTAAAGAGTCATAGTGGTTGCAAGAAGAGATTTAACTGTATTTTATATAATGATAGTCTGTTTAACCACAAACCCTTATAAATTTCTGATTTAACGCATCGACTGCTAAGCCCGGCAAAAGGTGTGTTGAGGTACCATGCTTGTTCTCTTGCACCGTCAGCACTTTCGAGAAGTATATGTTATTCATGATCCGGTTGGTAAAGCAGGCCAGAATGAGTACGATGGGATGAAAGAGGCCCCAAATGAAGTTCAAAAACCTCCAAATTTGAAAGCGAAGTAAAACTTCAGTGACCTTCTCTACTACTTATCCACAAGCGAAATAAAATCGCTATGGCTAAATGACCGGCAGCCGGTCAAGGTCGTCAAAACACTAAATGACCGGCGATCCGAATTTTTTAATTAATTAAAATTAAAAAAAAAAAAAAAAAATTAGTCAGTCCAAACTATACATCGATTACGAAGTGCTAAGCAATTCACATGATCCCAAGGTCCCAGTAATGCTGCGCATAGAATACGAAGCCACAAGTTGTGACACTTAAAAAAAGTTCTGCATGGTACACCCCTTAATTAAGGTTTCCAAAACATGACCAACAGTCCTAGTTTTCAATTGTTTTAATTCTAGTAAATCATAGTGTGGATTGGCTAAGTTCTTTTGGCTCAGTCACCATAGAAATGATGATTTATTTGCAATTGTTACAGAAAAGCAGTGCGGGACCTTCCGTTCTGAAAGGTGAAATGATTTCCAGAATCATAACCCTGGAAACAGCCGAAAAGACTTCTTTCTTCACTTTCCTCGTCATTATTGTGAGTTGATGTCTGCTCTGAACTTGTTCGACCATTGCAACCGTCAGGTGCTACATTTCCTTTCCACGAAATGACGAAGATGATATGTATATAGTCTCAAGTTTCTGAGGTTTCGAAAACCTTCCACAGTGATCCGCCACAGTACGTAGCCTTAGGCATTGACCTCTTAAATTATAGAGTTTTTGACCTGAGTTGCTTTGCGTATAATTTTAAAAACTGTGGTGTAAGAAAGATAAAACATTCTATCCGGGACGTCCTTCCTTTGGGGGCGATATCATGTGTGCACGGAATGATATGAAGTTGATATAGCGGCATTTAATTAATGAATCAAAAACATAGCAAAATGTCTTTCCATGCTTTGACAAACATGCTTCCTTTACTTTTTATCTGTTTCAATTTTTAAAAAGATTTTGCAATTTTGAACCCTTTAAACTCTTTTCCCGCTGCTCGGTTTTCTTGTTACTTCGTTAGTAACAACCCGATGTAACGCTCTGTTCGTTCTGCGAAGGAGTCACGTGAAGTATAAATCAAGTGAATTTGGGGATGTCTTGGAACTTTGTAAACTCACATCTCAACTTCCGTTGTCACGATTAAAATCTCTTCCAGACCAATCGCTATTCCCTCGACATTATAGCTCATATCCTTGTCAACACAAATCAGAGTTTGTTTTGCCACTAACAAGGAAGTCTTTTCTTGTGTAAACTGAGGAAGACAAAGATATAACTTCTCGTTCTCTGAATGTCTTTTCTTTGGGCTGATATTTTACCGAAGCGGCGGCAATGCCCGCTAATACGGATAATTCGCCAGTTACGCCAACTTTCAAGAAATAATCCTTTATTCGCCCGCTTCGGTGTATTTCTGATGAAAAGGAACACGAGGGTGCGAAAATAAACTGGGTGAACTTCGTTTCGAAGCCAAAGTAATCACTCGGACATTCCAGTAAGCCCCCATGCCTGAGTGAGAGTAGCGAGTCCCCCAAACTCAGAGCAAATACTATCTAGCAGAGCTCATCATCCCCCGGGGAACTCGGGCATTAGCATATGTTTTTTTAAAAAATTAAAAGGGGGAGGGGTGGGTGGGGGTAGGCAAATTCCCAGAAGTGGAGACAAGAAAGTCGGTAAAAGGCAAATTCATCCAAAAAACGACACTTGTCCGCACGATTTAGCAAATCAGAGTGAAAATAATTTACAATCGTTTTGTATGCACCTTTGTTAACATGTGCGTCCATCATCCTTTTGTTAATTTCGTTTACGTCAGTTTTAATAACACGCCAAGTTGTGCAAAAACTTCCCAGACAACAATACGTAATACTTGCTTTCGGTTTGTTATTTTGTACAATTATCCAATTGCGATTAATTATGTTGACATGCACATTTCATCATAAGTGTACTTTCAATATTAAAGCTTGTTACTGAAGGGCAAGAAGCAAGATTATGTTCAACAAACGAAAATGGCAATAGAATTCTCACGAAACTGATGATCTCGGGTAACTGATGATCTCGAGTCATAGCTTTGAAATATAAATCCATACACAGTTATTAAGATTAATTTCATTTGATCCATATTTGATATATAAGCTATATAAGGTCGAACATCATTCATTCAAAAAATTGTGAAGACATCGGAAAATATATTTGTATGCGATTAAGAGCATTATTTTTCTTATTAGTGACTTTTAGATGTTACGTCGAGTTTTCATAGAAAAAGACAGGAGGACATAACAAGGCCATGGGATATTGTTCAATATCAGATCTTTATAATGGATCTTGATGCATTTAGATAAGAGTTCTAACTGACAAGAGGCCCAATACAATTAATTTTCACCATTAGTAATGGATCACTGATGTAGTTGAATAATATACTTCTAAAACAACAACAACAACAACAACAACTTTATTCGCTCTTGGAAAAGAACATATTGATTCACATAATGATATATTATCTTAAATGTTGATGTCATTGAAATTACCTTAACCCTAACTCAATACAGACGGTTGAAATATTTTTAGGTGAGGCTTATCAAGTTATTTCCTGAGAAAAAAAGGAACGCATCACTTTTATTGTTCAGTGCACGTTTTAATAAAAGTTCTTTAGGATAGGTTTTGGCGGATTTCGTTAACAGCTGTGAACAAAGGCCAACACAGTTAATTGGCAGCATTAGTATTCGAAACCATTATCGTAACAATCTTAACAATCTTATCTTAACAATACCTTAAGTACTTTGTTGACAAAATCATCGGCAACCAATGTATCCATCAATGTCAAATTTTGAATAAAATTTCTAATTCTCATAATTATTTGAGTAACCCCTTTTCTTCACACAGGATTGAAGTGGAAGTTAAAACTGAAAACTGGACACATTACTAATTCAAACAATACTTCTAGAGACATTTTGCCAGTATTTGCATGACAAGAGGTTGCTCGCACATTATGAGGTCACAACTAGAATAACTTGTCATTAACCAGACTTAAAATGATTGGCGCATTAGATTCAACGAGATTAGGACAAGGAATTAAAGTACTCGGATTTTCATGTACAGCAGCAAAATATGTCTGCAGTTTGGTTTTGGGCGTTCTTGCAAACATACCAGAACATAATCGAAGGGAGATCAAAACATAACTGTTTACATCAAACATGAAACGCCGTCAAGCGCCATCAAAAATGAACACGTACACTGCGCTATATGTAAGCTAGGTCTGAAAAGCCACGCCAATTACAGACGTATTACCTTCGTTATAAATAAGCCCATCTTCATGTCTTGAAATGAAAAACTTGAAAATGAAAAACTACATTGTTCCACTTACCCACCCAAACGTAAACAATAGTTCTGTTATGTCTGTTATGCTGTTTTTCTGTAATGAGTGAAAATCTTCTGTATGTATTCTGACTTGATTAACATTAACAAGGTCTTGGCTAAATGTATGTTTTAGATGATGTATGAATCATTCAATCAAGCATTAAAAATGTTAAAGTTACCTTTCGGACGGAACCTTTAATACTTATTATACAAGCTTTTATCCTCCTAAAGGAGGCTAGGGACAGGAGGGATATCTTGACAGAGCGCCTCCGAACACAGTTCGGCGTTAAGGATTATCTCGTTAGTAGCTAAATATTTAGATATCGAATAAGAGAACAGAAACGTGAATTTGGGAATCGAAAAGAGGTTACAGAAAAATTCAGGTTCCTTCAAGAAAACTCTTTCTGCCTATAATGATTGAAATCAGTCAGCAAATTTTAACAGCGAACTAAGAAAATTAATAATAATTTCGTACTTTGAGGACACTGAAGCAAGCTTGCTTGGACACGAACCTTTCGTTCCCAATAGCTTCAGTTAATTGGGCAAGTCTTGCCAATTAACTATGGATTAATACATAATGATCAACTGGCATACTGGTACCTTTTAGCCCTAGGTTTTGGAATTAGCTGTGTTAGAAAATATTAATTATTAATTTCTAACACATTCTTCTCTACTCGTACCTCTAATCAAAGTCAACAAGAATTCCGTGAATGAGTGTTATGTTGTCATCAATTTATTCTTATGTTCTTTGTTTACTTGGCTAAATTCTTACCGCGTTCTCTGTGCTTTCCATTGCTGGTTTTGCATTTAAGGGTGGTTATGCTTCCGNAATGAGTGTTATGTTGTCATCAATTTATTCTTATGTTCTTTGTTTACTTGGCTAAATTCTTACCGCGTTCTCTGTGCTTTCCATTGCTGGTTTTGCATTTAAGGGTGGTTATGCTTCCGAATGTCTCTTCCTTTTTTAGTGGATGTACATGTATATGGTCTATTTACAAGGAGAGAAAGTTTAGCATTGGAAATTGGAATACCAGAACACGAATCTTGCAAATGGGCGTAACAACGTTCACTTCTGATATTGGTCTCATTATGATCATACGTCACCAGTAAAATTGGAAAGCTCTGTTGATTTATTATCAGTTGGAAAGTGAAGTTAAAAGTTAAACGTCTATTTTAAAGGTAAGTCAAGAAAATAACCGTAACAATTTCCACCGTATTGCCGAGAGACAACAACGTTCCCGTCGATTGTCGAATTGATAAACAAATTAAGGCAAGCACTTGCCGAATACCTGATCTTGGTGAACCCATTTTTTCCGCTTTCTCTGAGCAAGCCTTTGGAAGAGCAACAAACAGCACATTCAATTCCCAACAATTCATGCATAGATGTTTTGGAGATGAATCGATATTAAACAAGTAATTCCAAATCATGTTATTTTACAAACTATTGCGAAAGCAACACCAATACGAAACTGTGGTAACATAGTTACACAAAGTTACACAATAGGGAATGGATGTGACTGAAGTCAAAAGAGCCAATTAAAATCCAGCAATTAATAATGATTTTTTAATCTAACTTTTCGTAGGTTCATTGTTTATATAGTGTTTTGATAGTGATCCGCGAGAAAACGAGCAACGTCCACCCGAATCTCGGTTCCTGTTCCTGACATACGCTAAATAAAAGTCGGTCACACACGGCTGGTGTGGGCGCACGAGCGTGATGGTGTGATTCAAACGTTTCGGAAAGCAAATTATTGTTTTTTCTAAAATTAAAAATGTATTTCACGTGATTCATCTATTGTGGGCCGGACATCACTTTTTAGTGATGCACGAATTGATGTATGAACTGAGAGATAAAAACAGTTGATGAAATGAAATTTAATAGAGTGGTTTCCAAGGCATCGGAAAGCATTCTTTCATTTCTTCTTATTTTGTGGTAGTTGGAATAATTCAGCATGGAGAAGAATCGGTTTTGCGCTTAAGGAGTGACTTAGAACAGCTCAAACGAATTTTTGAAGAGAACCCAAGCGTTGAAAAGTGAACTTTTTCAAATTACTGGGACTGAGACTGACTGATTATTCACAATTCACTTATTTTTTGATTAATCTTTTTCAATTAGTAGAAAGGTACATTAAGATAACGTATTCCGATTTTAATACCCGTGCGTTTTTTTAAGACTAACTTTAAATCTGTTAATGAAATTTGTGAGAGAGATGCATTGTGCTGAAAGAGATAAAAGAATAAACGCTTGATTGATAAATGGTTTTTGAGTTAACTCAGACCAGGATGAATAACAAGCGGTTCCGAACGGAAGTGCGACGTCAGCAAGCTTCACTTAATTATAAATAGGTGAACGACAAAGATCGTGTTCATGAAAAATAATGACTTGGATAAAAGAGTTCTCCAAAAGTATATTTGTGTTATCCAAATGTGTGCTGTTGTCCATCGGTTGAGAAGGCAAAAGTCAGCTAAAAAGTATATGTAAACAACAACGAAACAATTCCTCTAGAAGCGAATGCTAAGTTAACAAGCGATACATTCTGTTAAACTAGCGATATTTCCATACCGTAGACGAGAGAGTCCATTTCAAACTTGTTCACATTGCGATTTTGGTTTACATGTAAGCTTATTCAGGAAGACCTTGCTGGAATGCTTGTTGTAGAAATCACACCATCAACTCCCGCGAAATGCCGCGTACATCAAGCACGTGTGCTAAACAAACGTCCTCAACATAGCGTGATTTCCATTGAGTAGCTTTCATGGAAAAAAACTTACCTGCACTTGAGACTTGGCAAATAACTGGCCTAGTTACTACAATAGCTACTCCTAGAAAAGGATGGTTTGATTCTCATGATCATGAGTGCAGAAATCGGTCGGCAAATGACAACCTACTTTCAACTCGCAACGAAAAATGTGTCAGCCATTGCTCCGGCTGAGACGACATATGATTGGTCGAATACTGTCAAGTGAACCATGTCCTACGCTCAGAGCCCTTCGTTTCCTGTGCCAAGACCCCGCCGGCCAATAGGAGAAGCAAAATGCCATATTCTCCCTAAAATAACCGTTCTACATTTAGAACGGAAAAACCTAGTAGCCACGCAAAAGTTTTGGCCACGCGCCAGGGTCCAAGTTTGAGAAAAAGGCCGAAATTTCATCGACCGTGTAACCAAAAAACATTTGAACTTAATATGCTTTCCCAATTTTCCCGGTAAGTATCAACGCTTTCTCGTCACCTTACGGAAAGCCGGTGTAATGTTTTCTTGGGGAATCAATCTTTCCGGACAAACTAAACATTAGGAAGGTTTCCTAACCCTTCATTTCCCTGCGATTTACAAGAAAGTTCGGCGCGAAGACATATTTTTCAAATACAAAATATTACAAAACAAACAAAAAGCAGAAAAACAGTTTATGGAAATGAGATGATGTTTTACTACAAGTGCATGTAGTGCTATAATAGTTTTTATCTTGGTGAACACATCGTAAAAAGCTAACAATCTTAATTTCAAGGAAAACTAAAGAACATTGCAGATATGTTTGTCCCACGGCAAGTACATTTTAACAACTTTCTTGTTAATTAATGACTGTGTGGAAAGTCTCAGGATATAGGTGAATTAAACAGGCCGAAATCCCAAAACGCATCACAGAAAACCATTAGCACCCACCGTGCTCCTTCTTAATCTTGTTTATGAAGATTTCAGTCTCCTGTACAAAAGGATTAGGAGAACGGGCCGCTTCTCTTTCATTTACTTTACCTAGATGGGCGGGTGCTTCCCAGGTTGAGCCATGTTTATTGACAAACACGGTCGGCACAGAGATATGAGCTCGATGCTTGTTGATGATGAAGTTCAGGTTATCGTCAACAACGAGATCAGATTTGAACCGGTGATCACCTTTATCCACCGTCAGCCAGAAGTTATGCAAGAATTTCTCCAGATCACCACTGAGAAGAACAACATCCTGAGGATCATTGAAGATCATCTCCTATTTGTAGAGAAGACTGGCAAAGCAACAGCCATTCCCGCCAGGGATGTAAAAGTTGGAGATATTCTGTACGTGAGAGCAGACCATGGTGTAGAGAAGGATACAGTTCTGAACATCAGCAAGGTCTACGGGAAAGGTGTTTACGCCCCAGTGACCCTCAGTGGTACCATTCTGGTCAACGATGTGCACACCTCGTGTTACTTTGATGTTTTGTCTCATGAGTGGTCCCACAGAGCGATGGGTGTTGTTCGCGCCGTGCATTATGTGTCCCCTTGGATTCTGCAGTGGATCAGTGGCGTAGGACGGAAGGATGGGATTTCCAGGCTGGTGCAGACTGGCTCATAAGATGCTTATCTTGTCGGACTGAATTCTGAACGGTACTAATCTCTTATTTTTACTACTATTTGATTTGATTTGATCTGACCTTATTTCACTGTTTTCAATCTCAATTATTGACTTTTTTCAATCGTTTCGTTTTTTCAGCAAAACAAGAGTGAAGCAAGGTTCTACATATGTACTAAATAACAACTAATTGTACTTTAAATTTTTAGTCAGTTCGCAAGACAAAATAGTTAGCTGTCTTGACAAAGGTCTTTGAGGCTAGTTGCATAAGAAAGAACTGTTTGTCTGGTTAGTTAGTGTGACAAAGATTGTGTGACAAAGAGCTCTGTTTTGGTTGTTGGTGTAACAAAAACGGTTGTAGCTGGATGTCGTGACAAAGAACTTTGTGCAATTGTGGTCCGCTGAGTTGGCTTGTCCTTGGGTGACAAATAACGAAGCTCAGTTTGCCTGCTAGCTTTGTAGTCATTTTGTGTAATTAGATAGCCAGTCTGAAAAAAAAAACTGTTTTGCAATTTGCGCTATAAAAAGCTTTGTAGTTGCATATAGTAAGCTTGAAAAAAAACAAAAACAAAAACAAAAACAAAAACAAAAACAAAAACAAAACAAACAAACAAACAAAAAAAACATAAGAAGTTATTCAGTGTGGCAAAAAATAACTTTGTAGTTACTTTGTCTAACAAAGAACCCTGTAGTTTAGCATGACGAAAACGTTGAAGTTATTTGGTGACAAGAAACTATGTGTATAGAGTGTGTGGAAAACAAATTGCAGTTAGTTTACATCTTGCAGTTGTTATTTACAGTGACAAAACGTTGGAAGTTAGGTGGTGTGATAATTCATAATTAACAATTAGATTATGAGCTCGAGATTTCTATGAGGTGATAGTTGATGAGGCCGCAGGCCTCATCAACTATCGCCTCATAGAAATCGAGAGCGAATAATCTGATTGTTTTAGTAGAATTCTAACTGAAATAAACGCAAATAACGGTTTCTAATTATTTTTCTACGCATTATTGAACTTTCCGCTTTAACAAAATCGCACGCATTGAATTGTCCTTGGTAAATTTGCAGCTGTTTACGGGCGCGCAGCCGTTTTTTCAATAATTTCAACTTTTTAAAGACAAGAAACCGCTAATGTCCTTCTTCTAGTCTTCTCAGGAATTTAATAACCATTTACATCTAAACTTTCTCCCAAAACTTCGGAAAAACGAAAAAACGTTGCATTTTGTGGACGACCGACAGCCACTGCACTCCAATGGCTGATAGTATACGAGTAGCTCAGCCAATCAGATTGCAGCATTGGCATTAGTATACTAGTCGAATTCTACTAATTATAGTTAGATTTTGGACCGTTTGGGTGGGAAAAATGAGTCGTGATGTTTGAAGATGATAATAAGAAGTACTTTGTAGTCAGCGAAAAAGAAAATAAAAAAAGTGAAAAGTGGATTTCAAGTTTGCTAATGAAATGTGAAAGGCGAACTGATTAACATGACACGAGCGTGCAGGGGTGACAAAGAAAAAATCTGAGTCCCCGACACGAATCAAACCCGTGACCTCCCGACCTTGCTCTCCATGAGTTGTGGTAGCTCAGTGGATAGAGCGCCCGCCAGGTGTTCGGGAGGTCATGGGTTCGATTCCTGTAGGGGAATCAGATTTTTTCTTTGTCCCACGCTCGTGTCATGTTGATCAATTCGCCTATAAAAAAAAAGAAAACTTTGCATTCAGTCGTTGTGACAAGAACTTTGTATTCAATATCTTTAACAAATAAAAAGAAAACACTTTGTTGTCAGCGCCTACCTAACATAAAGAACTTTAAGTTGGTTGGCGTTAGAAAGAATTGTGTTTGTACTTGGTGTGTGTTTCAGATAACTTTGAAGTTAATTTGAGCATAGTTGATAGAGGGGAATGGTTATGAAACCCGACTTATTTCTTTGTTGTAGGTTTCTGTTCGCTTTTCGGCCTTGACCGTGCACAAAACACAATAGTTGCTTACTCCGTACTGAGGAATTAACCAATAGAAACGTTTTCGTTACGTAATTCATGCATAGTGTATGAGCACAAATCAAAATTATGCCATAAATCTTGGCATCTCTGTTTGCTCCTTTGATGTTTGCCGGGCTTCATAACCATTTCCCTCTAAAAAGT